GAGAGGATAGAATAAGGCATGCCCAGAACAAGCTGAGAAGCAGGGAAAATGCCTCCCGGCAAAACAGAATGTTCAATGTAGGCGACAAAGTCCTAGTAAAATCCAACAGGAGGCTAGGCAACAAGCTTTCGCCGTTATGCGAAGAGAAAACGGTGGAAGCGGACATGGGGACCAAAGTCCTCATTAAGGGGAGGGTGGTCCACAAAGACAACCTTAGGTAGGCCAAGCATAACCATGTTATCGCTCGCCTGATAATTTTTCATTTTTCATTACTTTTATTCCTAGCCACTTGGCGTAAGTTCTTCATTACTATTATTTTTAATCATACTGCTTTCTCTGTGCTTTGGTGGTGGGCTAACCCGTCTTTAACAAACAATACAGTATATCCGATTTACAGGATTACAACCATACCCCTGCTATTATTTTTGACCGTAACTTCGGCGCACATAACAGACTACTCAAAAGCCAAATACATTCCCATCGTTGATGGTAAAATTTTGGTATGGGAAGAGTTCGCATTTGTAAGACACTCAGCGAATCTTTCGGAGTATAGGAGCGTAGTGGAAGAGACAGACGGAATGACCAACAGGTTCCCACAATCGCGTATGCAAAAACTCTTGAGTGTTGATACCGCTCACTTGCGCGATCTGCTCGAGTCATTAAGCATCCATCATAGAGTAGCCAGGAGTTTAGACTTCCTAGGTACATCCCTAAAGGCAGTGGCGGGAACGCCAGACGCCGAGGATTTTAAAAAAATTAAATTCAACGAATTTCATCTAATTAATTCAAACAATAGGCAATTAAATATTAATACCAAAGTTCAAGACCAAATCAATAGAATATCCACTACTGTCAATCAACTTCTGAGGTCGGCTAAAGAATTAAGTTGATACGAACTATACGGGATGTTACTAACTGCAATGATTCCTGCGCCCAAGATGCTACTAACGCAATGGAGGCACTGCAGCATCTAATGCTTGAAAGTTAACAAAGAGACTTGCATCCTGTCACTTACGTTGTCGATGGAATTGTCATTGTAAATGATCGTCCGGCTCGTGTGAGTGTGAACAATTGCACTTACGTCCACGTACAGGATACCTACCTCATCACCTTTATTGTGAGTGCCACAGTCAACGAAACCCGATTTGTCAACCATGACACAGCCCAGAAAAGGGCTCCGGGAGTAGCCAGCTCGCCTTCTCTGAACGTCACTATGGAACGAAACATCCTTAGTCTTCCATACCTTCATCGGTTAAGTGAACGTAATTTGGAACACATCAAAAGATTCGGAGAAGAGGTCAACGACTATCGCCTACATCAGATAATGCTAATTGCATGAGCAGTATGCTGCGCGTTGATCTGCATCGGATTAACCTATCGGCGATTCACCCAGGCCAGAAAAACTACGGCCCAGCTAAAAGAGATGATTGCCAGACTAGGGTCGGCCGAGGGCGGCCTCATTCCTGAAGGGGGAGTAGTTAACTAAGTTAACCGAGCGACGGCAATGACCGATCGTTCGACAGCTCGCTCCGGCCAAACTGCTGACACACCGTCTGGCCGGATGCCCATGAATAGCCTGCAAATACAGCATATTTGCGTGGCCGCTATGATATCCAATTTTTGTTAGCCTTAAGTTCAGTTCCATTCTGATTTCAATAAAGAGCACACATGCTTGAGAATAACTCCGGCCACCGCCGTTAATTTACTTATCACTTTGAACACTGACTGAGTCTCTAGGCCAGCAGTGAAAGGAGGGCAGTTTCCTTCCCAGCATAATCTTCGTAACTCATCAGTTAACGAGGACCAGAAGTCGACATCCGCCTTTCTAATACGAGACAGCAGCTTGGGACCAGCAGCCGCCGTGCGTAATTCACAATTTCTACGGGACAACAGCGGGGGACCAGCGGCCGATCTACGAAACATATTAATTTATAAGTCGGAACGGTCGGGATCGGCCGACTATATCCTATAGCTGCCATACAACTCATTGATCGGAAGTTGGAATTTTCTATGGGCTTTATTTTTGGCCAAACAATTCGAACTACCAAATTTCATAAGGATCGGACGACTAAATCCTATAGCTGCCATATAATTGAACGATTAGAAATGCCATAACTTTTGTGCTTTTAAAGTTAGGGAGTTGGGATTTTTTATGAGTGTTAAGAATGCATCATATGAATAATGTTGAAGAATATAATTTACAGAATATTCTGCAAGGGTATTTAAGCTTCGGTTCCGCCCGAAGTTAGCTTTCCTTTCTTGTTTGTATTAATACAAACGAAATAACTTCACCCTCAGTGGGCAAAGACAGGTAAAAACTCACCAAATTAAAATTAGGGATAATATGTTGCGAGAAAAACTGTTTTCCTGACACCGCTGGCCTAGTGGCTCAGCCGGTATGAATAATTTAAAAGATTAACGGCATTTGCCGGAGTTAGATTTGAAAGGAGCTTTAGCTCTTGTTTTATTAAACAACCAAATGGAACTAAATATAAAGAACTATGAAAGATAAAGCATAACTGGCAAACCGGCTAAGAGTTCCATAGAAAACGGTGACCTTGCACACGCGCAAGAATCAGGCTTTCGCTGCTGACCAATACGCCCAGGAAACTGCCCACATCAATGTCGCTGCTGTGTCAGCACTCCTAATGTAATACGCAACTGTAAATATAGGGCGCTAGTTACCGCCTCAGCACATTCCTTCGGCGGTCCCCCACCCAAACCCCTACGGTTGACAAGCAGCTAGAAACCAAACACTTTATTTGCAACTAAGTTGCCAACCAAACAAACATCGCGGCCACTGCTGAGTCCAAGCCCCATATTTGCATCCGGTCCAATTACAAATCCATTCCGCTAGGTCAGCACATTGTACGTAAACTCTAAGCTTTGAACAAAGACTTATAAAATAAAGAATTCATTCTGATTTTCAACTCGAAACCATCATCTACCATCATTTATTTGGTCGGGTTATACCCCGGGACATTTATTGAAGAACCTACTTAAGTTAACTGGCGCAGTCGGTAGACCTCCGGCTAAAGGGCAGATTCTACCCAAGAAACTCAAGGAAGGATCTGTGACGGCGGAGGATGACAGGAATTTGCAACATTATAATTATTGAAAGAGGGTTTAAAAAGAAACGATCTTCATTCAATGAGTTTTTGTTAGAAAACTGATTTTATTTAGAAATATCTTCGGTTTAAATAGCTTACATGAGAATCAAATAAGACTAATACATGGCCTACGCAGAGGCCTAAGTAAATAACCCCCGCCGTATCTAGGTCCCATGCTGCCGAACATATACATATCTCGAGCGGCGAGGACCCTATCAGTGGTCTCCCACTAAGGGACACATTTAGGAGGCGGGGGAACATCTTATTAGATAAGCGGCGTGCACTTAGATTACATGTGCACTGCACCCATGTCAAGTGTTCAATTTCATTTGTTTATTTCAAGTATATTTATGACTCCTTTACACAGAGCACAAAAATTCTTATTTGGATGTATTTATATTCGTGTTCGTCTGAACATTCTGCCAAGGGCCGGCAAGATTAGGTGTACATTTTAATTAGTGGCAATACAAAGGTAGTGGACTGTATTTATTTAATTCGATATAATTTATATTGCAACTTACATCTTGTAACGGCCGTTTTTGGTTTTATACATATTTTTTACAATTTTTTATTTTATCTTTTTTTTTTAATTTTCTTAACATAACATATTTTATTTATTTTGACAAATTATCTTTATTTATTTTAAAGATTAAGTAAACCGCTAGGTATAGCTATGGCTTGTAATTGCCTTCGTATTTTTATTTTTCTTACAAAATATATTATTAAAATTATTATACTTATAATAATATTATAATAATTACCAACATTAAAGATGTATGGCCAGTGACGTGATGAAAATCTAGTTCATGTAATTTTAATCTATTTGTTTTTAAGTCATTTATTTTAATTATTAAATTTTTTATTTCTTCTGTATGATTTATTACTGGAGACCCTAATTGGTTCCAAACTACTTTAGGTATTTCAGTTATTTCACCGATATATGGACATAGATAGCGTCCCTTGATCTTCTACCTGAATACTGTGATGAGCAACTAATATATCGCTATCTGTTCGAGCAGTGCAGTCTGACCTTATCGTAAAAATTCCTTGTTCAGGTAAATCGACTATCTCTAATTTAGAATTGCCGCATTGGACCCGAGCCTTAGTGTTGTTCTGCACCTTAAAAAGCCAACTACTTCTTATGTCTAACTCGACCCAGTATGACTTGTTCGGGGTAATGGATTTATATCTACAATTTGACGCACCATTTGGTTTAAGAGGCGTAAGCTCACAGCTGTTATCATTGGCACTTCTCCAAGGCCAACTACCGTCACACACTCTTTTGTTCGATTGCCACCTCTGGCACTTATTTAGGGTTGATTCTGCCATTAGGTGATATGCATCTATTTCAAAATTGTAAACTAAATATTGTGAATCTAGATGAACCATTACCACGCTTTCATCAATTTGAAGAGGTACAGGAACTATTCTATAGAGCACTGAAGCATGCCTTCCAAACAACGGTATATTGGCATTGATAATGAGCTTCCTATCAACAAATAGTCCCCTAGCTGTTAGTAAAGTGTAAACGTCCTTTAGCTCAGTACCTGTTCTTTTCCCTGGCAACAATAAGTTTTCTGACAACATTTCTTTTATTTTTGAAATTTCTAATTTTAACTGACTGCGTTTCAGCATGTTCGTATTAAGTCTTCCATGATGGATGTCAATTAGTAGGCTTATGATTCCGGATTGTATTTTTTCACAGTCATCTATTATGCTGCTTAATTGCTTGGTAATCATGAAAAAGTTTATAGACTCTTTGTACACATAATAAGATTCTTTTAGCACGGACGTCATATTCTCAATTCTTTTGTTTGCATTTATATCATCCGTCGTACTTTTTAATATATTAGCCGTAGAATCGACTAAAGACGTTTGCTTTTTGCTCAACTAATTCAGGCTATTCTGATTGCTTACCAAATTTCTCATATTATCTTCCATTTGAATCCTATCATCCTCATACATTATCCCAAATAATATGTGATATAGGGATCCCATATAAGCAAAGGGAGCTCGTCTGTTTCTAGACTTCCCTTGAGCCATGAAGAGTTTATTATTCTCTTCCAAGTCCAAAATTTGTCTTTCTGTATTATTTAAAACTAAAAGACACTGATCTTCGAACCCATAGAGTTTTTCGCAAACCACTCTCATTTTTGGAACTAATTGTTTCCCCTTTTTTAACATTTCAAAATAAACCTCCATATCATAGTAAATTACCAAATTCCAAGAGGAGGATACGATCTCAACGTCGCCCATTGGATCAAGATATATTGCTGACGTCTTATTCATTTTCTCTATTGTATATTTTGGTTTTCCATTATTAGGCAATGCGTTAGAAAATTGACAACTCAATATAAATAGCAACATTGCCATGACAAACCCGATCTTGGACATCTTTGATGTTGCTCTAGTTTGTCTTTTTAGCTCAGGGTCAGCCTCATTTTTGTCAACAGACTTTATTCCTTCCAAGGGACAAATTTTAGTAATGGGTCTTGTGATAAATCCTTCTTGCATTTTTATCTCAACTACTCGGACTCTATCATCATTCCCCTTATGGATTTTTTTCACCTTCCCTAAAGGCCATCTTGCTGGATGACAATTTTCATCCTTCAATAGCACAATTTGTCCCTCTTCTACATTAGGACTTTCCCTTTTCCATTTGTTTCTTTGCTGAAGTGTATGCAAATACTCATTTTTCCATTTTCCCCAGAAATCTTTTTTCATTTTTTGGATAAGTCTCCACCTGTCCAAATTTCCGATTCTTTCATCTTCCGTTGTTTCGACGATTTCTAAGGGAGGTCTTCCAATCAAAAAATGACCTGGTGTTAAGACCTCATCTTGGTCCATTTCATTTACTACAGTATATAATGGTCTTGAATTTAAGCATGCTTCTATTTGACATAAAAGCGTAGACATTTCTTCGTATGTCAAACTAGTGTCGCCGATTACTCTTTTTAAATGGTATTTCATTGATTTAACCCCAGCTTCCCAAATACCTCCGAAGTGAGGTCCTGCCGGGGGAATAAAATGCCAATCAATCCTATTCTTTTCCAGCTGTGCTGCAATCATTATATTTTCTTGGATTGCTTTATACAACTCCTGATCTAATTTTCTTGCAGCTCCTACAAAATTTGTCCCGTTATCTGAATAGATATTGGCACATTTCCCTCGTCTAGCAATGAATCGTCTGAGTGCTGCTAAGAATGCATCAGAAGTTAGATCACTTACCATTTCTAAATGTATGGCTTTGGTAGCCATACAGACAAATACGGCAACGTATCCTTTAAATGTTTTTTGTCCCCGATTTTTCGAACATTTAACAAAATAAGGACCTGCGTAATCTATTCCAGTATTTAAAAATGGAAATGACATCGTAATTCTACACTTTGGCAAATTGCCCATTATTTGCTGAGCTGTATTTTGCCTGTACCTTGCACACTTTACACATTGTCTCAAATACTTTTTCAGGGAATTCTTCAAACCGAAAATCCAATACTTTCTTTGAATATAATTTTGCATTATGTTTATCCCTCCATGCAATGTTTCCATATGAGCATTTTTTATTAATAAGTTTGTTAGGTAGCACTTTTCTAATATGATAGGGTGTTTAACTTCAAATTCTGCATTTGAGTTTCGCAATCTACCTCCCACTCTAAGTACTCCATCCTTATCCAGAAAGGGATTCAAGGACAATATTCTATTCTTTGTGTTAATTTCTTTGTTTGTTTTCAGGCATTTAATCTCTAGACTGAATTGATATTCCTGTTGTTTTTTAATAACAATCCTTTCAGCTAGTTTCAATTCCCTTACTGATAGAAAAGATGGATATAATTCATTCTTTGTTTTTATTTTAATGAATCTATTTATGTATGCTATTACACGTATGAGTTTTTCTATCCTGGAATACCTTTCTATTAATTTGTAAATCGGATCATCATTTGTATCATCATTTAGCATTGTATTTATTAGTACAGTTTCATTTATTGGTTGCTGCTGAGGCCAAAGTTCCTTTTTGTCAGCTAGCCATTTTGGACCTTTCCACCAAAGATCACAGTCGGTCAGCTGGTTAGCATTGATTCCCCTAGATGCTAAGTCTGCTGGATTGTCCTCTGACTTTACATGATTCCATTCAGTATTTGTTAATTTACGAATGTCAACCGTTCGTCGTCTGATGAATTTAATCTTACTTTGACCACTGTTAATCCATGCTAAAGTAATAGTTGAATCACTCCATGCATAGATCTCTAAGGTATTGTCAAGAGATCCTTTTATTCTTTGGATTAACTTACTGAGTAAATGAGCTGCGCACAGCTCAAGTTTGGGAATTGTCTTCCTATTTTTTATTGGATTGACTCTACTCTTGCTTGCTATTATATTTACTTTATTTCCTACTTTGGCATACACTACTGCAGCATATGCCTTTTCGGAGGCGTCAGCAAATCCGTGAATCTGTATAATTGAATCATTATTTGAATTTATCCATCTTGGGATTCGAATATTTTCTAAGCATAATAAATTTTCTTTATATTTTTCCCAATCACTCTTATCTTCATTAGATAACTCCTGATCCCATTCACTTTTATTTATCCAAAGTTTTTGAATAAAAAGTTTTCCCAAAATAGTGACTGGTGCCAACCATCCTAATGGATCATATATTTTGGATAGTTTTGATAACACTACCCTTTTATTAGTGACCTTGGATTCAGTGCAATTTAAATTAAATTTGAACAAATCATTTTGAGGTTCCCATTTGAGTCCCAAAGTTTTTACACTCTCATTTTCAACAATACTGAGCACCTTATTATCACCTGTGTCCTCCACAGTTGACAATATTTCAACATTATTGGAAATCCATTTCCTTAAATTAAGTCCCACCTTTTGTAGTTCCAGTGAAATTAATTTTATCAAGGTATTTGTTTCTTTTAACGAATCAGCTCCAGTCATTAGGTCATCCATATAGAAATCATTCCTAATTATTTCACTTACGGTTTGGTTTTGGCATTTATCTGCAATATCTACTAAAACTCTTGTAGCTAGATATGGTGCAGATGCAGTACCGTAAGTAACTGTTGTTAACTTATAATTTTTAATTTTTTGATCTGGAGAATTCCTCCATAAAATATATTGATATTTTTGGTCATCTTCATTTATTTTTATTTGACGGTACATTTTTTCAATGTCCGCTGATACAACGAATTCCCATTTTCTCCATTTGATGATAATGTCAAAAATATCTTTTTGAACTCGTGGCCCAACCCACATTATATCGTTCAAACTTTTATTGTTAGTAGTTTTTGCTGAAGCATCAAAAACTACCCTTAGTTTGGTTGTCAGGCTTGAATCTCTTATCACTGCCTGGTGTGGTAAGAAATACTTTCCTTCATCCTGCACTTCAACCATATGACCTAAATCCATATATTCATTCATGAATTTAGTATAGTCAACCTTTAATTTTTCATTTTTATTTAATTTATTTTCCAGATTCATGTAACGTGCCGTAGCTTGCTTCCTTGAATCTCCTAAGGTGACATCTTGTTTAAAAGGAATTGACACTATGTATCGCCCATCTGAGTCTATTTTTGTTGTTTTTGTGAAATTATTTTCACAAAACTCAGATTCGATATCATTTTTGTCTTCTTCCTCTACTTCCCAATATCGATCTAAATCTTTTAGTGCAATCGTTGTTGCTACGATTGTTTTGTTTCCTTTGGATTTTTTACATCCTGAAACAATCCACCCGAAAGCAGTTTTTTGCCCAAGCAGCCCATTTATTTTTACAACTCCATTTTGTATTATGTGAGTGTATAAGTCTGCTCCAACAATTAGATCAATACGACCTGGTTTATCAAAATCGGGGTCAGCTAAATGGAAGCTCTCCCATTTTTCTTTGTCAACATTAACTGTGCTGACTGGAAGAGCCTTCATAAGCTTGGGAAGTATTAAAGCTTCAATTTTCAACGTTTTTTGAGAATTTTGGGTTTTAATCTCAATAATAGCTTTGTGCTTGGAGATGCACTTTCCTGTGGACGAAACTCCACTGATCTCTGTTTGAGCTCTAACTCTGTTTAACTTCAGAATCTGTGCTGATTCTTCTGAAATAATTGTGCTTTGTGACCCGCTGTCAATCAAAGCTCTAAAATTTTCAAAATTTCCTTGAGAAGATTTTATTTTAATTCGTGCAGTTGCTAATAAAGCCTGCTCCGACGTCATACAAGTGTTCACCTTTTCACTATTTTGTTTAAAGTTTATATGTAGCATGCTATGGTGATTTCTTTTGCACAGCGAACACGTTACTTCGCTAGTGCATTTTTTATTATATGGGTGTTTTAGACATCTAAAACATAAGAAAGCTTTCTTAACCTTTTCCATCCTTTCTGATGGATTTAACGCTTTAAATTTATGACAATAAATTATAGTGTGTCCCACACCTTTGCAAATGGGACAACTATTTGTGAACAATTCTTTTGAATTGTTACTAAATATATTTCTTTTAACAGGTTTTTCATCCTGAAGCGAGCTTATCGAACTTAGTCGTTGCTCTAAAAATTCTGTGACGTCGGACAATATTTGTATTTCCTTTGTTTTTTTTGCATGGCTCTCATATAATTGTAGAGCTTCTTTATTAAATTTTTTAATTATAATGTGTGCAAAGATAATATCCACTTCATCGGATAGTTGTGCCTTTAATTTAATCATGTGAATTGACTCATTAATTGTGTCAATAAACACTCTCAATTGCCTGGCTGAGTCAACATTTAAACATTGAAGCTCAAGAAGGCGATTCAATTGATCGGAAAATATTTTCCGTTTATTTTCGTACCGCTTGGTTAACAATTCCCAAGCGGCCTCGTAATTATCCCCTGATCCCAACAATAAGTGAGAAACCACATTCCGGGCTTCTCCCTTAAGTGAGATTTTCAAATAATTAAATTTTAAGGTAGGACTTAGGTCCTCCCTTAAATGTATGAGTTCAGTGAATAACTCATAAAATAAGTCCCAATCTTTGGAGTCCCCAAAGAATGTGGGTACTTGTATTTTAGGTAGAGTCGGCAACTCGTCAATTTTTTGACTTGTGCCTTCTACTTTACTAGGCACATTAAGAATTTTCTTTTTCATATTATTCGTGACTGTAATAATATCAAATTCTAGTTCATCTAGAATATCATCAAACCTCCTATCTGTGACATCAGTCATTTCGACTTCCTTTAAAGCAACAAGCTTCTTCCAATAAAAATCCAATTTTTCAATCCTAATCTCAAATGAATTCCATTTATTTTCTTTAATGTCATCAAATGTTTCTTTCAAGTATTTATTCAATTGATCTATAGCCTTTTCCAGTCTGCTAGAGTTACCTATTTGATATTTTTTAATTTCTCTGCTGTTATCTGCGCCTGAGTCTAACTTTATTTGATCTGTTCGGTCTAAAGTCTCGTCTATGCGTGTCTTAATTTTCTCGAACCCTAACATCATCTGCTCAAAATGCTTATTTTTGAAGTAATCGTGATCGATTACTCCAATTTTCATAAGAGCCGAGTGATTATTTATACACTCGGCTTTAAGTGCGTCAAACGTTTTTAGATATTCAAAGGTTAAACTTGGGAGTTCCAGTAACTCCTTACTACTTAGTGTGATTTCGACTTGCCTTTTAATAAGGGCAATCGTTTGTGCGGACAACATTTTCTTAATTTAATTAAATTAAAATATCTTAAAATTGACTTATCTGCTTCGCCGACGCTGCCGTATAGTTGTAGTTGTTGTCGTTGCTGTCGCCGACACGTTGCTGCAGTGGTCGTTATAGTTGCTGAAGCTGCTGCTGCTGCTCGCCGACACCTTGTTGCTGTGGTTGTTGTTGCTGAATTTGCTGCTGTTGTTGCTGCTGCTTCTCTGTTGCTGTTGTTGATGTCGTCTTCAATCTTCTGATATTTTTTTTTTTTATTTTTATTATAATTGTGGGCTGATGATTTTTATTTTTTGCAAAAAAATTTTTTTTTTTTTTGTTGTTTAGGCACTATTATTTTTGATTTTCTTGCCACTTTTTTATTTTTTCTGCTAGTTAATGGAACTGTCACAAAACTGGGAAAACTTTTTGATTTGGTAGGATTTTTTTTTTTCACAGATTTCGGGGTAGATGTTTTATTTTTTTTTTGTCACCACTTTTTCGATGTCTTGGCCTCGAATACGCCCAAATATAATTTGCTTGATAGCAAAATTTAAAAAATGTTAGAATTTTTTATTCTTGTCGATTTTATTTTTCGACCACGATTTTTTTGTTTGTCACCACTTTTTCGATGTCTTGGCCTCGAATACGCCCAAATTTTTTTTGCTTGATAGCAAAATTTAAAAAATGTTAGAATTTTTTATTCTTGTCGATTTTATTTTTCGACCACGATTTTTTTTTTTTTTTTTTTTTTAAACAAAGAAATTTTTCTATGTTCTCAATAATTGAAAAAAAATTTTAAACAATAAAGATTCTTTTGTATCTTTTTGCTTTATAAATTTATACTCTGATTCTTACAACTGGTGGGGAAATCAAGAGTCAATTATTTTCAGCAACCTGTAGCTGCTAGTGTTACCACTTCGCAGGACTTTAAGGTGCTGGCCTTATCTCTGAGTCTCTTACCACAAGGGGGAAAACTGCAGAGTTGTCGAAGGACCAAATGAAAAAGGGTTCAAAAAGAAACGATCTTCATTCATTGAGTTTTTGTTAGAAACTGATTTTATTTAGAAATATCTTCGATTTAAATAGCTTACATGAGAATCAAATAAGACTAATACATGGCCTACGCAGAGGCCTAAGTAAATAACCCCCGCCGTATCTAGGTCCCATGCTGCCGAACATATACATATCTCGAGCGGCGAGGACCCTATCAGTGGTCTCCCACTAAGGGACACATTTAGGAGGCGGGGGAACATCTTATTAGATAAGCGGCGTGCACTTAGATTACATGTGCACTGCACCCATGTCAAGTGTTCAATTTCATTTTTGTTTTAAAAATTATGACTCCTTTACACAGAGCACAAAAAAATTCTTTACTGTTAGATGTATTTATATTCTTTTTTTTTTTTTAATTTTTTTTTTTTTTTAAAAGAGGGTAAAGTGAAAGGGGAAAAGGAGTGAAATAATAAATTATAAATAAATAAATCAAAAAATGATATAGAAAGGCAAATATAAAATAATTAAATGGAGAAGGAAGAGTAAAATAATTAATAAAATAAAACATAAAGAGGTCGAGCCACGTTTAGAGAAGGAAAAAGAGGAAATGTAACAAGAATTGTGCACAGATGTGAAGGTGAAAATAACAATTTTTTTTTTTTTTTTTTTTGTTTTATTTAAAAAAAAATTGGTTATTTTTTTTTTTTTTTTTTTTTTTTTTTTAAAAATATTTTTTTTTTTTTTTTGTTGGGGGGTGTTTTTTTGTTTTTTCGAGGGGTTGGTTGGAGCGGTTGCCGGCGGCTCGACAAATAGATGCGGTTGGCAATGGATCGGTATGACAAGAGAGCGTCGGGCGGCGCCGGTCGGGGGGTGCCGAGTGTTCGGTGCTGCGCAGAGCGGGTCGACCAAGCGGACGGTTGCCGTCGAGGCGGCAAACGGTTGCCGTTGTCGTTGGTTCGATGCACACCGAGCGGCTCGGTAGACTAAAGATTGTGTTCGTCGTCGGCGGTCGGAGGCGTTGTGAATAGTTCGACGTCGAGCCGAGTGGCGGCAGAAGGCAACCTAGTACAGTGGGTCAAGTTATGTCAGAAAGGAGAAATTGGCTCGATCGGATCAAAGACAGAATAAAAATTAAAGTATTATCAAGACTCATTCACATGTATTAAGCGACGAACAGTAGGGAAGGGCGAAGCTAGCATGGGATAGTTGCAACAGGTTGAAAATAAATAAATAAATAAATTGTTAAGGTCCAGTCACAAGTATTAGGCGCGAACTGTAATACACAGGGCGAAGCTTAGCATGGGATGGCTGCAACAAGTTGGAAATAAATAAATTGTTAGGGTCCATGCACACATATTAGGCAGCGAACTGTAATGCACAGGTCAATGCTTAGCGTGGGGGATCGTAAACAATTAGAAAGTGGCAAAGAACACCCATAGAGCAATGACTGTCCGCAAATGGTTGTGAAGCTGTACCGCACAGTGATCAACTAGCTTCAGCATGCGAGGTGAGAAAATTAAAGAAAGGCAGGCAAAAAGAAAAAAAAAAATGCAAATAAAAATGAAAATGAGAAAAAAATATAAACAAAATAAAAATTGTTACGATCCATATTCCATAAAGAGGGTGACCATTTGTCATTCACTAATGCGGTCAAACACCAAATTAGAACGAATGACGACATACCGGTGTACGCTAGGCCGTACAGGAATGCATTCAAGGAAAGACAGGAGGTGAGAAGACAGCTAGAAAAGCTATTGGATCAGAAGATTATTAGACATAGCCATTCTCCTTGGAGTGCGCCGGTTTGGCTAGTACCCAAGAAGAAGGATGCCTCTTTGGAGAGAAAATGGAGAATGGTGGTAGACTATAGGAAGCTTAACGAGAAGGTAATTAAAGATAGATACCCACTACCATTAATCAATGACGTATTGGATAGCTTGGGTAGGGCTAAATACTTCTCAACTTTAGATCTGGCGAGTGGATATCACCAGATCGAAGTGAAAGAAGAAGCCACCCCTAAAACTGCTTTCTCGGCGGAAGGGGGACACTTTGAGTATGTCCGAATGCCGTTCGGGCTAAATAACGCCCCAGCAACTTTTCAAAGGTTAATGAACAATATTTTCGGAGAGTTGCTGGGAAAATGTTGTCTTATATATATGGACGACATCATGGTGTACTCGACATCCCTACAAGAACACGTAACGGATTTGGAAAAAGTCTTCAAGAAACTTGCGGAGGCAAACTTCATGTTACAACTAGACAAGACAGAGTTTTTAAGGAAAGAGGTAGAATACTTAGGACACGTAGTAACCCAACAAGGGATCAGACCGAACCCAGGAAAGATCGAAGCAATAAAAGATTCGAGATTCCCAAGACTAGGAAGCAGATAAAATCGTTCCTAGTTCTGTTGGGGTACTATAGGAAGTTCATAAGAGATTTCGGGGCTATAACAAAGCCTTCGACAAAACAGTTGTAAGGGAAAAAGGCTGTGCAGATAGACCAAGAATACAAGGACGCATTTGAGGTATGCAAGACGTTACTGTGCAATGATCCAATCTTGCAGTTTCCTGACTTCGATAAACCTTTCATACTCACCACAGATGCAAGTAATTATGCTATTGGCGCCTTCCTATCCCAGGGAAATTTGGGAACAGACAGACCAGTAGCATACGCTAGCAGAACCCTGTCAGGATCAGAAGTAAACTATGCCACAATAGAAAAGAAAATGCTCGCCATTATATGGGCGATTAAGCATTTTAGACATTACGTATTCGGCACAAAGTTCAAGATAGTCACTGACCATAGGCCATTAACATGGCTAATGAGCGTCAAGGAACCCGATTCCAAACTTGTGAGATGGAGACTCCAAATGTTGGAGTACGATTACGAGATCGTATATATGAAGAGTTTTTTTTTTTTTTTTTTTTTTTGCGCGGAGTCCCACGGCCCACTTACCCGCCCAACCGACCGAGGGGCGCAGCCGTGTATCGTACGGCACGATTCGCGATAGGATAGACGCGAAATAGGAAAATAAAGGTAAAGGTCCGGGGAAAAAAGTAATAGTTAGATCAATCTTGTGCCAATGAAGCAAGTATTAATCGTTTTAGGAGCGGCAGAGAGTCAAGATTTCATATTACAGGAAAAAGTCTATTATAGTCAGAACATAATACTCTGAAAGGCTCATGCAAGGCATAGTTAGATCTACAATGATTTAAAATTAGGGGAATATAATTTCTAGTTAATCTACTTGGCACAGAAAAGTTTAGCCGACTTAACAAGTCGGGGCAGTCAATATCACCATGTATAAGGTTATAAATAAAGGTAGTACCAAGCATCGTTCTACGGTTGGCTAGGGATGGTAAATTAATCAAAAGAAGTCTACTAGAATAAGAAGGTAAGATAAGATTTGCATCCCAGTTTAGGCGCCGTAAAGCAAAAAGAAGGAAGTTTTTTTGTACAGATTCAATACGACCAATATGTATTCCGTATTGTGGACTCCAGACGGGAGACCCATACTCCAGAATCGGACGGACAAGCGAAATAAATAAAGTTTTAGTCAAATAAGGATCATCGAATTCTTTTGACCACCTTTTAATAAATCCAAGCACTCCTCTGGCTTTATTAACCATGGACGAAATGTGATTAGAAAATTTTAGTTTAGGGTCCAAGAGAACGCCAAGATCGTTTACAAGAGTTATTCTATCCAAAGAGCTGCCACTTAACGTGTAAGTCGCGTATATCAGATTGGCCCGATTAAAAGTCATCAGCTTGCACTTGGAGCCGTTTAAATTTAGTAAATTATCTCGGCACCAGTTTTGAAAATTATCTAGATCGGATTGCAAGTCTAAATGGCAGGAAATGTCCTTATACTGCAGGCACAACTTAACATCATCTGCGTACATAAGTACGCGAGAATGACTTATAATTGAGGGAAGATCTTTAATAAATAATGTAAAAAGTAACGGACCCAGATGGCTCCCTTGTGGGACACCGGAGGTAACACGGAGAATTTCAGAAATTGAATTTTTAAAAAGGACCCTTTGTGACCTGCCATTTAGATAACTTGAAATCCATTTAAGCAGATCAACTGGAAAACCTAAAAGGTCAAGTTTATGAATAAGAAGTAAGTGATTTACAGAGTCAAATGCTTTACTAAAGT